CTTTCTCTTACCTCTTTGACCATTTTTTTCCTGTCATCTTCCCCATATCACATTTCTTGCCCTCTACTCCTTAAATGTTCGTGTTCATTTAGGTTCTCTCCTTTTGCCACTCACTCTGAATAATGTTATCAATCCATATGACCTCAATACAACTACATGTTTTAAAATCTTTATCTGTGGCCCAGATTATATGTAACATAATAATATAAATGTAATATAATAATATACATCTTTATCTGTGGCCCAGAATAACTCATGACGGAAAGCATAAGCTTTGTGCAAAAGCTCAAATTGAACCTTCTAATTTGTTTACGTACCCACAGCCTCAACCCTCTCAAACCTACCACCCACCATGATTCTTGAATTTAAAATCTTTCAACACCATCTGCTACCTATATTATAATTACAGATAGTCATATATACCTATAGGTAATATTAGTATATAGTAGAAGGCCCTACATGATCTGACCCCAAAACTTCTCTAGCCTAATATCACTTTGCATTCTGATAAGTTGTGTTTGCATCAACAAAACTGCTCTATTCACAGTTTCACATGTGTTTCATGTCCTCTCTCCTTTTATGTTTTGGAAGGCTGAGTATACAGATGGGGCTTGTATTCTGAGTCTTTACTGTAAGGTGACTTGGTTGGGCCACTTCCTTAGGTAATCTTCCTTGTCAGTCTCTTTGTATTTTTTCTCTTACACTGCTGAGATTCCACAGAAACGATTTTTCCAATATCTTTCTGCCTTTCTGCCAGTGTTCTTTAAGTAGAAGTTTGGAGGGTCTCCATATTGAATATGGAAACTTTCAATTAATCTTTCCAGTATGGCACCCTTGCCCCCAATTATGCCTGGTCTCTTGTTTTTGTTGTTTGTTTGTTTTGAGACCAAGTCTCACTCTGTTGCCCTGGCTGGAGTGCAGTGGTAAGATCTCAGCTCACTGTAACCTCCACCTCCTGGGCTCAAACAATTCTCTGCCTCAGCCTCCAGAGTAGCTGGGATTATAGATGCCCGCCACCACACCTGACTAATTTATTTTGTATTTTTAGTAGAGACAGCATTTCACTGTCTTGGCCAGACTGGTCTTGAACTCCTGATGTGGTGACCCACCCGCTTCAACCTCCCAAAGTGCTGGGATTACAGGTGTGACCCACTGCACACAGCCACCTGGTGTCTTATACTCCAGTGACCCCTTCCAGAAAATGAGCCTCAAGTTTTCTTTCAAACTTCCACAGTGTGGGGAATTTGGCTATCTTCTAGGAGAGGGAAGCAGATTTGGGTTTTAACTGATATATATATATATATATATATATATATTTTTTTTTTTTTTTTTTAATTTTGAGACAGTATCTCTCTCATTGCCCAGGCTGGAGTGCAGTAGTGCAGTCATAGCTCACTTCAGCCTCAAACTCCTGGGTTCAAGTGATCCTCCTGCCTCAGCCTCCCAAGTAAATAGGAAAAAGGTGTGCACTACTATACCCAGCTAATTTTTTTAAATGTTTTTTGGGGGTTAGAGATGGGTCTCTCTATGTTGCCCAGGCTGGTCTCAAACTCCTGAGTTCAAGCAATCCTCCTGCCTTGGCCTCCCAAAGTCCTGAGGTTACAGGCATGAACCTCTGTACCCCAGCCTTCTTAATAGATTTTTGGCCGACTTCTTGTTTTCATCCTCTCCTTTATCCCTACTTCCAGAGGCATTTGGTGCCTCCTATACCTGGGTTTTTGAAAATTTTGCTGTATTGGTCTGGTCATTTATTCCCCACTGCTGGCCAACAATTCAGCTTTCTCAGGTCTGCTAAGTCAGTTGCTATTTGCTCATTTAGAAGCCTGTCAGCTTCTAAAATGTTATTGCTACCCTTTTCTCTTGGCCTTTTAAATTTTTTCCTTTTCAAAAAAGCTGCTTTTTATTGTTTTACTAGAGTTTGTTGGGGAAAGGAATACTAGTCGTGTGTTCAATCTTCCATTTTTAATAGGGAGTCATCCCTGCTTCCATGTCTTCGCATATGTTTTTCCTGCTCAGCATGTCCTCCTGTCTGAGGTCCTGGAACTCTCACATTAATTTTTTAATACTGTGTTCAGGTAGAAGGCACTCTAAATGCCTTTACCTTTGCCTAGATAAATTCACCTCTCCCCCTCGTAGTTAGAGTTCTTGTATTTTACCCAATCTGTTTTACTTAATCTATTTAATAGCACATAAATAGTTCTTGTATTTTACCCAGTCTATTTAATAGCACATAAATATAAATCAATACAAATAAGTGTTATTAAATAGGTTGGGTAAAATACTAGAACTATTTTAATAGGATTATAATTATTTGATTACATATTGATCTCCCTTACTAAATATATATGGTAATTTTAATCAGATTTAATAAATTATTACATTAGTAGAGGCTATTCTTTGATGAAAGGTGAGACTTCTATTTAACAACCATATGTTGCTATGTTTATGTTAAAGTCATAAGTTTCTAAAATGTTAAGAAACATTTTATCTGTTTAGTATCTTGCTAATAGTGTTAAGTCCTCTTTAAAACTGATAGTACAGGTGGGGCTCAGTGGCTCACGGCTATAATCTCAGCAGTTTGGGAGGCTGAAGCAGGCAGATAACCTGAGCTTAGGGGTTTGAGACCAGCCTGTCCAACATAGCAAAACACTGTCTCTACTAAAAATACAAAAATTAGCCAGGCATGGTGGCGGTCACCTGTAATCCCAGCTACTTGAGAGGCTGAGGCAGAAGAATCGCTTGAACCTGGGAGGCAGAGGCTGCAGTGACCAGGTTCGGGTCACTGCATTCCAGCCTGAGTGACAGAGTGAGACGCTGGCTCAAAATAAAAAAACAAAAAATCTGATAGTATGAAGACAAATTTTAGCACACTTTCTATCTCATTTACAAGAAGCTTAGTTTTAAATCTTAAAGAAAAAGTTATTATGGAGTAATTTATTGTAAAAATTTATAGTTTTCATGAAATTTCAGTTTTCTGCATGTACTCCCTTCTCTGCAATGAAATTTAAATCAAGGTAGTACCAGGCCATGTACAAGAATCATGTTCAAGTTAATTTTTTGATAGTGCTAAAAATATCTTTCTGATTTTATTAATTAATTCTATAAATGGAAGATTAGTGTTTTCATTATATTCTCAGGAAATATTATGAAATATATCTTTAAATATAATATTTGACCTTAACACATTTTGAGTTTTATCTAGCATAACCATATGAAAATAAGGTACTAAATAGGTTATTTACTATTTCTGAATAACTTCTTATTTGGTAAGTGGATGTCTATACCTCTCTTTCTAATTTAAATTCTCTTTCATCTGTTTAATGACTCTAGTGAATATATCTTACATGAGGAAAATATCATTCTAATCATGTCATGATATATACTCTAAATACACTGGCCATATTTTTTGCATAGACTTTCACCTTAAATAATGTATAAAAGAGTGGCTTTTTTATAATATATAACTTAGCACAATTCATAATTATTGAAATAGGGACTCTAAATTGCATGCATTTTATTTTTGTAGCCCACATTTTCATCCTAAATAAAAGACACATAGTGAATAAACAGGCCTTCAACAATTGTTATTTATTGTGTTCTTATTTATGACTACCTAATTATACAAGAAAGAAACTAACTAAAACATTGAATAGAACAAACTTACTGATAGTAAATGTTGAATATCTTTGATACTTGACATGCATAACACTTCATCATTGGGTCATTCATCAAACCTAGTCTAATCTTTGTTTTAACCATAACATTAAATGAGGGTATTGAATGTTCAGCTAGGCTTTACTACCCAGCTGAGTGATATAGGAAATATTATAGGTATAATGTTACCTTAGAGGAGTAAAGTGTAGATACAGCTGGAAAGTGCTGCAAGAAGCTGCTGCTTTATTTCAGGCATAAGCCATAAAGAAGTTGAGCTGTAATTATGTTTAAAGCAAGAGAACTGCTCTGTGATCTGTGAAAGCTTATATGGTAAAGTAATATTATTAGAACTGGTGAAGATTTTGTGCCTATGAGACGTGATGAGGAAAATACAAATTTTATCTTAAAGAAATTTTGCATTTGTTTTGTCTAGCACCTTTGGGAACCACCAGTGATTGTCATAGGTAAAAAGTCTATTATAATGCAATAGGGCCTGGTGTGGTGGCTCATGCCTATAATCCCAGCACTTGGGGAGGCCGAGGCGGGCAGATCACAAAGTCAAAAGATGGAGACCATCCTGGCCAACATGGTGAAACCCCGTCTCTACTAAAAATGCAAAAATTAACTAGACATGGTGGCGTGTGCCTATAGTCCCAGCTACTCAGGAGGCTGAGGCAGGAGAATCATTTGAACCCGGGAGGCAGAGGTTGCAGTGAGCCAGGATCATACCACTGCACTCCAGCCGGGCGACAGACTCAAAAAAAAAAAAAAAAAAACAATAAAATCATATTTTAGTAGCTATTAACATTAAATTCCAAATGTATCAAAAATGTCTGTGAGCACCAATACCGTCATCAGCAATAATTTACTTTTTGCCTTCTTTGTGTGAAGGGGATCATTAATAAATTTCAAAACCCCAAGAGTAATTAGATGGAAGAATCTAATAACACTTATTACTATTTTATATCATAAAGTAAAACTACATATGAGGAAACTATTTGATGTACACAATAATTTCTCTAACTTCTTTAAGCTAGGCAGTCGGTTTTTGAGCTGGAATCGGAAGAATCCAGATCCCATGCTTTCATTGATTATGCCACTAAGATAAGTCACAGAACCTTCTTTTAGGGAAGTTTTCAAGAATAGTGGTAAGCTGCTGTCTTAAAATATTGATGTCAGTAGCCTGAGAATTTTACCTCATATTGCAAGTATGGGATCAGACAACCACAGGTTTCTCTTCTGTACCAGTTAACCTGTGTTATGATGATTTCAAGATGTGAATAAAAGCTTGGAAGTTGGCAGGATCTGTTTGAGGAGTACTCAAGGATATTTATTACTTGTTTCAGGAACAGCATCTGTTGCAGTAGCAGGTCTCCTTGCAGCTCTTCGAATAACCAAGAACAAACTGTCTGACCAAACAATACTATTCCAAGGAGCTGGAGAGGTATTTGCCTTGTATAATACTTATGTTCTCCTAAACTAACATATAATTAGTGTTAATTGCTCATTAACTCAAGATTTGAGGTATTCTTTCAAATTTTTAGTATATTACGACTGTAGGCTTTATGGAAGATTCCCAACTTAAGTACTGAGACCTGTTAATCATTCATAGGCTAATTTAGTACAGAGGTATTGAAATATTTTTCACAATTTTAAATTTGCAATAATATCAAATGTTGCCATAGGTATTTGTTATGCTTATCTAAAAGTTTCCAATGTCAGTGTATATATACAAGCCTTTAAGTATTTAAGCTAGTTTATCTGATGCTGGCAGTTAGTATACTCTAGTGTTACAAATACAAGTTTTTAAAATTTGACTCACAATTCAGTTACATATGTAACTATATATGTATTTTTGAGAAAAAATATTTCTAATTAGGGATTCATAATACATTATTACTGTTCACATGCAAAAATTCCAAAATATTTTAAATTGTTGGAAAGAGACTGCAGCAAGACCAAATTAGGCTTTTTGTTATTTGCTTAATTTAATAATCTAAAAGAAGAAAACCAGACTCCTGTAATAAATCACCCCCAAAATAGAAATTAAAATGTTAGTTGAGTTTGAGTTTCTTAAGAGAAAACTGCCAAAATCTCTTTGGAATTATAGAATGTAAGTAATAGAGAAATATTTTGTGGGTATATATATATATATATTTCAAGAAACTTTAAATTTTCAAATTGAATATGATTATGAACAAAACAATACATTATACTGGTAAATATCTGTGTATGTTGTGTTGGTTTTCATTTTGCTTGTCTTTAGATAAAACAAAATACATGAAGTTAGAACTCAAATGCCAAGATACAAATATGTGAAAGTATTCAGAATGTAAATTACAAATTCACTTTTACATTGAAATAAAAATCAAGGCTAAATGACAGCTCATTAACATTTGAGTTCTTTATTTTGTGGATTATTGCATGCTGTATTTAACTTTAGTAAACCTCTTTGAATTTTCAAAGAGTTTGATGAATGGCACAGACCAGTTCTTGATACTCAACTAGGCAGAAGAATTCATGGTTGGATGATTCAAAACTAGCACTTGTTTGCCCCTGAAAAGATATTGGAAATTTCACAGATTATTATAAAATGTACCAAATACCAATTCCATGATTCCTTTAATCTTGGAATAAATTTCACAGCACTTTTGATATCCAAATTAGAAGAGTAAGTAGATGCTTGGGAACACAGATTTTTTTTTTCATTAGTTTCATTCTGTTGCCTAATTGGTCAAGTTCCCATCCAAATGACCAGGCTTCATTCTTCAAATTCAATTAGAGGAGCTTGAACCTAACAATAAACAGTACAGTTCAATGAGCAAGGTTGACCAGTTCATTATTTTAAATTCAGTATTTTTTCTTGGAGCAAATCTTGGTTATATTAACAGGATTAAATACACTGACAATCAAGGATATCACCAGTTTATCTGTGGCCAAATAGCAAGCCACATAATAGTGGTTCTGTTGTAGTAAAAAGGGTAAATAATTGTTATTTGGCTTAACTTAAATGTGACAAAAATATTTTGTTCCCACTAACAAAGACAAAAGGGGTTGAAATGTAACCCTTGATAAGATATCATGTGGAACAACTTTAAAAATTTTTCTTTTCATTATCCAGGCTGCCCTAGGGATTGCACACCTGATTGTGATGGCAATGGAAAAAGCAGGTTTACCAAAAGAGAAAGCCATCAAAAAGATATGGTTGGTTGATTCAAAAGGATTAATAGTTAAGGTAAGAATTTCTCATTTATAACCAGACTAAAAACCAACTTTCCATTCCAGATGTCCATCTCAAAGACTACTCTGTTTCTACCACCTCCCTGTGTTAAAAGAGTAGCCATTAAATATGAATGATCATGTCATATAGTAATACTGATATTCTTCTGAATAAAACAGAAAACTATGGCTCTGGATAGATTCCAGCTGCATGTGAGTTGGCTTCTTACATCCCTTTGAATTGACAGTCCATTTGAATTAGTTTAGTTTGTTTGCTTGCTTCCTTGAGTTAGGGTCTTGCTCTGTCACTCAGGCTGGAGTGCAGTGATGCTACCAGTCACTGGAGCCTAGACCTCCTGGGCTCAAGTGATCCCTACCCCGCCTCAGCCTCCTGAGTAGTTGGGACCACAGGCGAATGCCACCATATCCAGCTAATTAAAAAAAAAAAAAAAAATTGTAAAGACAAGCTTTCACTGTTTCCCAAGCTGGTCTTGAACTCCTGAGCTCAAGTGATCCTCCTGCCTCAGCCTCCCAAAGTGCTGGGATTTAGAGGCATGAACCACTACACTTAGCCAATTTAGTTTTAAATTTAGCAATTTTATATTGATACAGATGAAACACCTAGATATATCACTTTTTATTGACAGTTGGTCATCAAATTGTATGTTAGCTAGAAAGAAATGAGGAAAGAAATGAAATGGCTACTCTTTACCTGCTACTTTCTCTCAACCAAAGTCTTAAGGGTTTGATTGGGAATTCCTGAGAGAAAACTTTGATAAATGGCTTGTTTGAATGTTATCTTTTCTGAGCTTGAGTTTCCCCATCTTTAGTAGAGATAATAATACCTACTTCATAGTATTAATGTCAGAACTAAATAAGATTAGGTTTGTGGCCATATTGCTATATAGTTATAAGGCATTATTAATACTGACGCCACCTGTGCATATCAATCATTCTTTAACCTGCTAGAAAAAAAGTACATATAAATCCCCTTCCTGTGTGAAGATGAATGATTAGGAATAACTAATGCTAAGCAGTGTCTTCTGGAATGTAGTATAGAAATAAATGTGAATGTGTACAGACAGACTTTCTGGAAAGCTGTTTTATGTGCCTTTAAAGTTTATACTTTTGAGCCAATAGTTACCATTCAAAGAATTCATCCCATGGAGATAGAGATGTATACAGTGTTTTATGTATGAGGATGTTATTGCAACATTATTTGCAATAATGATATGGTTTATAACTCATTAATTATAATACTGATATTTTACACTTAACCTAAATAAAGGATGATTGTGAAATGAATTATGGAATAGCCACATTAGTATACTGTATAGGCTTATAATTGTTTTCAAAGAGCAATAAATTACATGGTAAAGGATTCGTAATATAATGTTAGATTAAAAAAAACATAGTATATATAATTTTTAGTTTAAAATACAGTTGTATATAAAAGTCATAGAAAGAAATACATCAAATTGATATTACCTGAAAACATTATTTCTAATGTCTTTTTATGTAATATTTTGAAGTGTTAGTAATCTGTTCCTTTAAAGCTAGAAAAATGTTTTTTAAAAATCAATATACATATATTTTCCTTTAAATGAAGAAAAATGTATGCACAACTTTTTGTAGCAAATAAGTATATATAAAGACAGACTTTTGGTATGGATTTCTTGGCTTAAAATTTGCTATTGCTTTGAAGAATCAGCATAATTATAAAAATTTGTACACTCATTATGTGACAAGTTGTGGGCGTGAAATAAGAACATTTACTGAATAAAATCATCTGTGGATCAGGCGTTGTTACAGACTCTGGGGATTCAATGAAGCTTGATATCAGGAAGCTCATAGCCTAGTGAGCAAAACTCAAGCTATGAGTTACAGAACTAGAACTATATGAAAGTGTTATAAAAATATGTTCATGGGTGTCAGGGTGCACAGGAGATGATGCTTCCAACTGCACTAAGGAAAAAGTTGGGAATACTGAGGAAGATTTCAAGACAAGACGTCTATTAAGCTAAGTTGGAAAGGAACAGTTAGGAGTTTATCGAGGGTCTCCATAGATATCTTAAATTTCCTATATACAAAACTAAAACAAAGGAAGCATGATGGCAAGTGCACTGAGATATCTTGATCAAAGCTAAAAATGATGTCTTTTGTCTCTTTATATCTTCAAAGTTCTATACAATGTGTAGTACATTCCTGACAACAAATATTTTGTTAATAAATAATAAGTGGCTTTACAGGCAGAAGAATAAGCATGTACAAAATAAAATATTTTGGTATAAGGGACATTTACAGATTAGATTAGAAAGGAAGCAGATGGCAAGAGATGAAGGACTTTCTGAACCCCAAAGATGAACAGTTGAAACCTTTGTAGGGGGGTTTGCCTCTCCTTTACTCTGATGGCATTGTGGAGGATGGATTGCAATGAGGGGAAACTGAGAAAAAGAACTAGTTACAAAGCTGTTTCAATAATCCAGATAAAAATTAATTGGGGCATGACAATGGAGGTGAGTGAAAGAAGCTTAATTAAATAGATATTTAGGGAATAGAAATGGCATACTTAGTCACTGATGAAATATGGAAAGAGGAGTAGGGTATAGTGGAGGAAGGAGTCTAGGTGGACTCCTTGGGGGTCTAGTAAGTAATGCAGCTGTTAATGCGGAAAAGGAATAAAGAACAGACCACTTGAAGGGAAGTAACAGGATCAGTTTCACACATAGTAAGTTTAAGGTGCCTGTGGAGACCTCAGACAGAGATACCCCATTGACAGTTGGAGACACGGGACTGATACAGAGGGTAGGGTCTGAGTTGGAGATAGGGATCTGGGGATCATCAGCATGTAAATAGTAGGAATAGTAGGAGCTGTAGAGAAAGGTATACAAATTGTTGTCCTTAGGGATATAAAATATTCAAGAGTCCAAAAAGGGGAAGTCTATGACTGTGGTTTTATTTTGTGGTCTCTGATGACGTTTTTACTTGAAATCTGTATAAAAATATATAGATTTTAGCATCTCAAACAATTGTAACTTACATTTACTGAGCTGAGACTCCAAAGTCCATGGATTATAATACTTGGAATAACTGTGAAGTCGTTGGCCAGACCTAGTCAGTCACTTTTACTTCATGTATTCTACTTGCCAAAATAAAGAAGTTCATATGTTCTGCTTGCCAAGATAAAGTTACATTTTAAAAGGTTGTTATATATATTTAATAGCTTGTACACTATTTAATATAAAAGATATATATTAAGTTTCAATCACTTTTTCTTTCATGCTTTTTAAACAATCAAAATCCTTACACTGACTTTTGTTGCAGAACTGTCTTAGAATAACCAGTAAATTAGTGTAATCCTGTTTTCAAATTTACATGATTCTTTTGTGTTTTTTATCCTTCTTCCTTAGTACTTTTACATCTTCTGAGAACGAGCAGTAATTTTATTAACTTGTAATGTAACTGTTTATAAATGTAAAACTACCATAAAGTTTTAAATAAAAAATTTTCTTGGTGAAACTCCACTTTTTAAAAACACCATGCCAAAAACTAAAACATAAACTGTGAAGTCAGCTCATCTTTGAAGTTATATCATCATCACACTAGGTAACTATTATTACAGCACGTTTTCTCTTTTAACTTTCAACATCACAGCCATAGCAGTTTCCATCATTTACCCCATATCCATATGTGCATTTATGCTAAAAATACCAATATTATAAATAATTCATCAGTATCAGTAAGGTTAATTGAAGTCAGTTACTTGGTCCCAGATCATACCCAAATATCTTTATACTTTAGTATAAAGTACTAAATATACTTTAGTGTTTTATGATGGGAAATAATTGACATATTAATTTTATCAAATAATATTAATACCTTTTAATGTAAAACTAATTAATGTAAAACTAATTTAATGTAAAACTAATGTAATGCTTTTTTTAGTTTTTAAAAAAAGCTTTCAAAATAAAAATTAGAGTGAGAATAAAGACAGTGAAGAGAGGATGAAAAGGGAATGTTGCCCACATAGTATTTGCATTTTGCAGTGATGATCTGGAGCATTTTCAGGGAGGATAAGAAGCCACAAAGCTAAGTGCAGCCATTAATGTAAAAAAGGAATAAAGAACAGACCAATTTAAGGGAAGTAACAGGATGAGTTCCACACATAGTAAATTTAAGATTTAATCTTTGTCTTAAATAAATATTATATTTTGGATATTACTAATAAACCAAATTGATGCTAAGACAGAACATCAAAATAAAAAGTAGGATATTAACAGATGTTATGAAGGATAGATTTTATCTAACCCAGAATAAGGCCATAGACTAGTCTGAATTTTGTTTTTATTTTTGTTTCTTTTTTTAAAAAATAATTTTACTGTATTTTTCTGATTTATAGTTAAATTTTTAGCTCTTGTAGAAAGAGATAGTGAATAAAGGTATGTTGTATATTATAAAAGTAATTTTGACAATATAGTTATTTCATTCCTGAGAGTATAATCTCTAGGTCAAGGGCTTGAAACTACAGACGCCATAGTTTCTCTGCTATTGAAACTATAGTTTCTCTGCTATTTTATCAGAATTCATGATGGGTGCTGCCTTCACCCTGAATGATGGTTAACACATTTCATACACTGTGGTTTAATAAAAAAAAAAAAAGTCTAACTCCCAAGAGACCATGTCAGCTGGTGAAAAGTATCTGGCTTGATTATTTTCTCCATTTTTCATTTCATATAAAGTATGATCAATGCATGTAGGTATTAAAAAGAACAGAGGCCAAAGATTATATGTGTGAGTCTTAGAAAATTATGAACATTGATTTTTAATGTACAGAATTAAATATTGATGGAGCTCCCCTTACTATACTTTTGTCACATAATTTATCTTTGTTTAATGTGTATGAGATGATGAAACACAGCTCTGGACTCTCGCAACTCTGTACTCTTTAGCAGGTGCATATACCTGATTTGCAACAGTTGCAGTGAAATGCTACTATGCACTGAGAAGTCCCTCCCT